CTAGACCCTTCTTCAGAAAATGATTTTCTGAAGAAGGGTCTAGGCCCGAAACGTCACCTTTCCTGCTCCTCGGATGCTGCTTGGCCTGCTGTGTTCATCCAGTTGTACACCTTGTTATCTCAGATTCTCCAGCATCTGCAGTTCCTACTATCTCTAAATAGACAAGGACTTCTGCCTAGGGTAGAGGAGTTCAAAACTAGAGGGTATAGTTTTAAGGTGAGAAGGGAAAGGTTTAAGAGGGAACGAAGGGGTAACTTTTTCAAGCAGAGGGTGGTGCATGTATGGAATGAGCTGCCAGAGGAAGTGGTGGAGGTGGGTACAATTACAACATTGAAAAGGCATTTGGATGGATATATGAATAAGAAGGGTTTAAGAGAGATGTAGGCCAAATGCTGGCAAGTAGGACTAGATTTATTCAGGATATATGGTCCACATGAATAGCACGTATCAATGTGTTAGGTTGTGCAGTGCAATTGATCCTTGGTTGGCAGTTAAAATCTTTCTGGTGTGGTTATGGAAGTTTGTAAGCTGCTCCAGTGCTAGGTCCAATTCCTGGTCTGTGCTTTTGTATAGATTTTTTGATGGGCTGTGAACCTAGGACATACCGCGAGTGATTTATCCCCATTGCTCTTGCAAACCACCACTTTGAACCTGAAATCATAGGTGCACATGCGGTGCTGTTAGGAAGTAGTGATGATTGCAGTGTAATTAGAATTAGCATCTCAAAATCAAGGAGATTTGGGTGAGCTTGCTGTTGTAAATGCCAAAAAATGTTAATGGGTGGTTGGTGAGAATGGGAAAGCTTGCTTGTCTTGCCAGAGTAGCTTGCTGTTGAGGATTGTGCTTATAGAATGCCCACTTGAATGAGTTAGCAAGTTGTCTGCATTGACCTTGGAAACTGTAGTATTTAATTGTTGTTACTACTACCATGTGAGGTCTGTGTTCATACAATTTATAATCAGTTAAGTGCAAGTTTACAAAAAATCCCTCTGATTGGAATTTGTTCATTTAACTAAAATGGAATATGGAAGTTGTTCAATATAAAGTTGTCACACACCATTAAAACACCTTGCAATAAATTAACCTTTAATCTGTTTCTTTAGGGACAGAGATGAAAGTTATTAGCAATCAAGATTAGTCTGCTTGGGTTCAAGTTCCACCTGCTCCAGAGTGTATAATAACATCTCTGAGAACATGAATGCTGGACTCCTGGGCGGGCGCAGCAGCTTTTGCAGACCAACCTCCGCATCCAGGGCATCATCCTCTGCCACTTCCGCCATCTGCAGTCCGACCCTACCACCAAAGACAGACTTCCCTCCCCACCCCATCTACCTTTCATAAGGACTGCTCACTTCATGACTGCCTCACCCACTCCACGCTCCACACTCCCCTCTCCCCTCCAACATCACCACACCCGACATCTTTCCTTGCAACCACAGGAGGTGCTACACCTCCCCTCTTGCCTCCATCCAAGACCCTAGATAAATTTTCCAAATCCAACAGGGGTTCACCTGTACATCCTCCAACTATCTGTTGCTCCCGATGTGGTCTCCGATGTGATCAGTGAGACTAAGTGCAGACTCGGTGACTGATTCGCGGAACATCTGCACTCTGTACCCTATAATCAACAATATCTTCCAGTTGCCAACTATTTTAACTCTGCCTCCCACTCCATTGGTGACATGTCCATCCAGTGTTACAATGACACCACACGCAAATTGGAGGAACAATATCTCATGTTCTGCCTCAGGAGCCTACAGCCCGATGGCCTCAACATAGAATTCACTAGTTTCAAAATCTCCCCAACCCCGGCCTCCTTGATCTGATGCAACCTGTCCATCTTCTTTCCAACCTTTCTGCCCCACCCTTCCCACTGACCAATCCCCACTACCCCCTACCTGCATCCACCTATCACCATCCTGCCTCTCTTACTCCAGCCCCACCCCTCCTCCATTTATTTCCCAGTTCCCTTCCCCTTCCCCAGCCCTAATGAAGGGTCCCGACCCAAAATGTCAACATTACTGCACCTCTGATGCTCCCTGAACTGCTGTGTTCCTCCAGCTCCACACTGTATTGACCCTGACTCCAGCATCTGCAGTTCTTGCTATCCTTTAGCAGACCACTAAATGTTCTAAGATATTTCTTTCTTCCTCACAGTGTACTGGAGATATTCATGAATATTTTTTTCTCTCCCTTGGTCAAAAGTCTGGTCATCAGAGTTGTTGCTTGAAGTTTTGCAAAGTGGCTGTTCTTAGCTAGTTTCTATGAACAGCATAAAGAAACCTATCAGCAAAAGGAGGCTATTTGGCTCTTTGAACCTGCTGCACAATTTAATATCGCCATGGCTGATCATCTGACAGGGTATCTTGTTCCTGCTTTCTCCCAATACCCTTTAGTCCTTAAAAAAAACTATTTCTACATATTTCCTAAAAACTTTCAATTTTTTTTGGTCTCAACTGCTTTTTGTGGTAGAAAATTCCACAGGCTCACCATCTCTGGGTGAAGAAATGTCTCCTCATCGCAGTCCTAAATAGCCTACCCTGTATCCTTGAACCATGAGCTCTGGTCCTGGACTGCCCAGTCATTGGGAACATCCTTCATTCATTTAGCCTGTATGGCCTTGTTAGAGTTTAATAGGTATCTGACATTCTCCTCCACCACCACACCACCCCATTCTTCTAAACTGTATATAGTCCTAATTGATCGAGTCTCACGCCATACATCAGTCCCACCATTCCAGGAATCAGTCTATTAAACCTTCATTGTGCATTTTTAATGGCCAGAAATGCTTCCTCAGATGCGACCAAAACTGCACACACTACTCCAGGTGTGGTCTCACCAAGGTCCTTTACAGTTGCAGCAAGACATGCCTGCTTTGTGTTCTAATCCCCTTGCTCAGAAGGCTAATATACTTCTGTCTTATTAGCACCTACTGCATCTGCATGCTTATTTTCAGTGGCTGGTGTACACAACACAGGTCTTGTTGCACTTTCCCCCTTTCCCAATCTTCTTCCCCTATTCAGAATGATAATCTGCCTGCTTATTTTTGCTACCAAAG